TTTTTATTTTTTATATTATTGTTTATTTTATTATTTCAACAGACGTATATCAACTTGCATTTACTGCTGCGCTATAAAATGTGATAACCTAATCTCCACTATATATATATATATATATATATATATATATATATATATATATATATATATATATATATATATATATATTAAAAATTGCTTTTTTTTATTGACTACCTGTTAATTGACCTAAATAAAACAATGGCCCGTTTTGATTCAAAAAATAAATGGTCACGTTAAGCATGCCTATTTCAAAATATTAAGATTTTTTATAGTACAAGAACGGAAAACGAGCACACAGTCCACCTGATGGTAAGTGGTTGCTGTGACCCATAGACATCTACATCTATCCCCGATAACGAACCAAAATGTAGATGCGTTTAACCCCTAAGAACCAAGATCGCCCCGTATCCAGTAAAAAGGGTCTCCGGCACTCTGCACTCACCATACTAAAAACAGCATTAAGCGGCTGTTTTACGCTGGTATTCTGTGAGATCTTGGTCCGCTCTCGGTCGAGCCGATCCGTTCGTGTCAAGCAGACTATACATTTTGGTTTTTGGCCGAGCGAAGGCTAGTACCAAAACTAGTACCAACGTGTAGGCAACCCATTTGCCTAGCTTCGCCATTGTTCGTCGTCGCTCGTCATGCTGGCCGAGTGCAGGCAAGTGCCAATGTGTATACGGCTCGTTAGGCGTGCTTTGCCGGCACTCGGAATCGCTCGCTAGGACTCTTCCACTTCAGAACAGAGTCGGTTTTTCTACATAAATCAAAGGCGCTCTCCTGCACTCGGCAAGTCGCGTTTAACTGACAAACATGTGCATGTTTGTCAGGTAAAGCTTGGCGTCTGTCCTGGTGAGATATTGATGTAATTAAGTTGCAATTTTAAAATAATTTCTACAACGTCACTCTATACTAACGAGGACATCTTTAAGTTTTTTTACTTTACTGCGGAGTACACCGACATAATAATTATCTGCACTTATTAAATAAATAACAGAAGCTGCAAAAACTTCTACGTCGTCCATATCGTACCATTTCTCAATGACGATTAATTACGGCCAACATGTGGATAGCTCCACAAAAACTCGTGAACATTGGCCTTGACATTGGTCTCTTTCGAACTTGACCAACGTGTAGACTGTAGCACTCCGCCTTGTATCAATTTGCCTACGCTCGCGTTGGCTGTGGCTTTACAACATGTATTTCAGAGGTTAAAACCATTATACGAGTATAGCTGCCCGACTCTACTGACTGACACAAAGCACGACTATAAATTAGATTCCCGTGTAGCGTCGTAATTTCCGTCAATACCTCCAAATGCTTGTCGCTACACTGCTTCTGTCAGCGGTCTAAATATACCTGGTCACACTATAAATTAATAATTTCCGTTTCCGACTTGTAATGCCCACCGCACGCTTACTTGATCATAAAGATGATGAAGTCAAGTAAGCATTATTGTTGTCGAGTTGGCATTTAATTTATTTTACAATAATTTTGAGTAGTTAAATAATAAATTAAAAAGAATAATTTGTAAGTGCATTGTTCACAAAGTTCGTATATAAGACCTATATGTTTATTTTAAAATATTACACAATAAGTCTTCCTTCATAAACAAATATGCGCATGTGAACGTTGATGATTGAATTGACCTATACGCGAAAACAAATGTTACTTTTTTACGGCAGGAAAGCTTGGAATATCTTCTAGACCGATCTTTCTAAATTGTAAAAATTCTTTAGTATGTTTAATGACAGTTTTACATAACTGAACAAAAGACACGACCGTTTTAATGAGCAAAAAGTCGAAAATGTTTAACAAAAATAATTACATGTTTTTATGGTATAACTTAAATTTAATTATTGGTTATATTGTATATAAGTAACAAAAAATATTTTAGATTCAAAGGAATTTATTGTTTTTAGTTCTAATTATCATATTACACATACTGTGTAATACTGACCTAAAATCATCTTTTACTTCATTTTAAATGAATTATTTAGTAATCCACATGTTCGTTGCAAAATAAATTTTTTTTTGTGCCAAATTACGAGCGATTTTTTATAATCAGATTTTTTTAGAATAAAGGTGACAAACGAGCACAGTCCACCTGAGGGTAGGTTGATGACACCTGATTGACCCCTATCGTACATTGTAACTTTTATAAACAATTGTACTTTATACTGTTTAATTTATGATTGTGTATAATTTATTTTAAAATATCTGTGATAGAAAATATTTAATTTTGACAGCTGTGTCTATTTATACGCAAGCTTGTTTTACTTTACTATTTATAGTGTTATTAAAGGTTGTGTCCAACCAGGGTGTCCAGTCTATAATTTGCATAGTTATGTAAATTTGTAAATTTTATTTAAACACAAAACTTGGATTACAAAACTAAAATAATCCAAGTATCTTTCACTTCAATATTAAACGTGTACTTTCTATACATAAATTTCAAACAGCGAAGAGATGTGAAAAAACAAAAAGTAAGCAAGTAAAAAATGACAGAGGTCATAAAGACGGAAACAATATAACAGTGTATAACATTTTTTTCATTAATAACAATATAGAGAGAAAAGGATTTTGTTACGTCAATACAGTGGGATTTACCATCTACGGCTTCATCACAACTTACCACTACGTGAGATTGTAGTCTAGCACCGACTTATAAAAAATATACGAAGTTTAAGTTAAATTTATAAAAAAAAACATCAATATGCTCGCAGTAAGCAACGTATTCCATTTAATACTAATCCATTTTCAACGGAACACCGTGTGGCTTAAATGTTAAAATAGCAATTATTATAATTACCGATAGTGTAACGGTATCTCAAATGAGACTATGTCAATATCGATTAACAAGTGACAAGCTGGTCTTGGAATACTTACCAACTCTTATGCTTCAAATAACAATATGCTAATTGACAATTAATTTTGTATCTTGATTAAGTTTTTATCATTAAAGAATAAGTCAACGTTTAACCTGTATTTCTAGCATACTGGGTGAAAGGAAATTAATCAAAAAAAACTTTTTTTTTTCTAGGATATACTTGATTATCAATGCAATTTTGCACAATATGTGTTTATTATGGTAATCAATAATGCGTTCAGAAAAAAAAATCTATCTATAATTGCTTTGTCTTTGCCGACTAGTAAAATTTATCACTAAATAGCTAAATACCGAGCATTTATCCTACACACTGGTCATGAGGAGCAACATATACAATGCGAAGGTATCATCCCACGTTCATCAACCTGGACATAGGGCATATAGGCAAAGCGATGTTCGCGCAGTTTTGAAAAAGTCTAAGTCCAGTTCAAGGTTATGATATTAATTTAAAAAACGTTTTATCGCTTTAAATTTTTCGGAACGAAAGAAGGTCGGGTATTTACCTCCCTCCGCCGTCAACAAACATAATTAAATAAAATTGGAAAAACTAAAAAAAAATGTAAAGTAGCATAGTCTATATACGTCCAACTGCTGGGCACAGTTCTCATGATTTATAAAAGGGGGTTTGGGTAATAGAAGCACCGCCTCGCTGCCTACAATCTTAACATGTCATCGAAATGTGTAATTGGTATTTCTCCTATTATAATATCAGACATATGTGTACTGTTTCCTGACGATATTCGCATCGGCGCGCCAGCACCAATGAAATAGTTTTCACTTGTTCAGCGTTAATTAATATAAAATTAAAAAAAAGAAATTCTAAAGGCAAAGACACACTTAACATTGTTTAATTAATCAATAAACACTTTAAGTGACATCAAAATTAAATCAATGCATTGGCAATGTACATAAATTCATGACAGCACCGGAAACACGATTACGCTTAGACTATGCGCGCCACATTTATTTCTAAGATGGCCGGCTGCCAATTCCAACGAGTCACCGGGTGTCTGTTCTAATGTTGCCAAGTGAAATAGCTATCCTAACATACGTTAGTACCGACTTGGCCACGATGCTATGGAAACTTTTGTTAGTGAAAGAACACATGACTGTTCAATTAAAAAACTACAATAGAGAGTTTCTTTATGGAAGAGCACAACGAGCACACGGCTCACCTGATGGCAAGTGATCACCGTCGCTCACGAACATCTGTGACAGCAGGGGAATTGCAGGCGCGTTGCTAGCCTTTTAGAAAGGAGTAAGCTCTTTTAGAAGTTTCTTTAAGTAGGGCGAGGGAAATATACGAGTACGCCTTAGTTTATTACAAAAAGTAAAGTTACGACCGATATGCGTCGCACTGCTGGGAACAGGCCTCTTCTCGTTTTTGAGAAGGTTCCAGATCACTACGCTGATAATAATAAAGCGGCCAATTCAGCAGACTTCTTTGACATGGAGCCTCGATATTTATTACACTGCTTTGTTTAACACATTTTTTAATTTTATAAGACGATATACTCACAACAATGTCCATGAGTAACTAAGCATTCTTACAGCCTTTTATTGTTATCACTTGCGCAAATGGTGGTCCCATTGAAAATTTACATTTGCAAATTCATTCAAAAGAAATTTTCTTAACGTTAACTCAGTTTTTTTTTTGTAAACAAAATTAATGTGAAATTATTTCAATTACGTATTGAATACAGCAGTATTTTTTAAAAACGTAAATGTCAAGTCTCCAAACAATGTTCTATCATTATGTTAATATAGATAGATAATATATATATATATATATATATATATATATATATATATATATATATATATATATATATATTGATTCAAATTGTAAAGCTTGTTTCGAAATGTAAAGCTGTTTGTCTAACGATGGACAAAATGAATGTCTTGCTCAAGAGTAGAGATTCGTAAATTGTGCTATTTCTTTTTTGCTATTGGACTAGTATCGCAGGCATCCCATCATCTAATATTCGCTTGATCTGTGATCAAAAGTTCGTTTCTTTATATACTCCATTTTACTGACATTTTGCAGAATAATGATGAAATAAAATAAATAAAAGAATACTTCGAAACTCACCTGTAAAGTTTCTAGGAAATGACTTCTCAGTTTTAGCCATGATGCCTTTGGAATGATTTAACTATTCTGAAAAGAAAAGAAAAAACTTAATTATGATCATTTATTTGATAGTTAATTAATCCGTCGCTTATTAAATAATTAATTAATTAGGCATTTATTTAATAATTAATCAATTAGACCGTGTGACGTGTGCCGGTAAATTTAAAAGTATAGTTACGGCCTACCTATTTACGTCCTATAGCTTGGCAAAAGCCCTCTCTCATTCCGGAGAATTCCATAGACAAAGGAATTACCGCCACGCTGGAACTCCTCACACATGCTTGTTTCCCGCGATATTTTCCTTACTTTACTTAATCTCATTGATGCCGCAGGAAACAAACGCGGGTTGCTCGCATACTGTGAAATTTACAGCGAGCAATTGGCCCCTATACTACCACGGTTCTATGTCAACATGTACCATGCTACATGTGAGGAAGGGAATGTGTACCTACCAAAAGTATAAATTAAGTCGTTTATTCGCGTCTATCCGTTTATTCCTTTCAAATTTTGAAATTACTTCATGGATTTTGATGCGGTTTTAGGGAACTTATTAAGGAAAATTTTAATATATAATAGATACATATGTTTAATTTTAAGATATACTAAGATTAATTTGAAATTAGAAACGCTACGCTAAAAAGATCAATTAACGAGTGCAATCTGTCTAATTAAAAACATTTTTGTGAATTTTAAGATGAAAAAGGGCTAATTAACTTATAGTTAATTATGTAAACACTATATATCTAGAATAAGCAATTTATACATTGACTTATATATAACAACGTAAACTGATATCAAACCAACGATTCAAATTAACATTGGAATAATAACTGACATAAATAGTAAAATTTTACAGCAAAAAAATGATCGATAAGCGCAAGTAGGCCGCGAAATTGCCCTCATAATACATATGTTTTGCGGTCATACACTTTATTATGACATGACACATGTGGATTGTTGCCAGTCGGAAATTCAAAAAGACCGTTAAGCCAGTTAAGCTCTAGACGTATCGCTCGGCGCCAGCCCGCCGAGTAACGGAATCAAATCGTGCTTATCAAACACGTGATGTGAAAAAACTTGTAGGATTATAAAATAATAAAATAAATGTCCTCACGCTAGACACATGTCTTCTCTGAGAACGGAAACAATTTGATGTTGGCATCATAGCTGCTGGTGGTTATGGCAGAATCCCCCCTGTAAGGCAATCTATAGAGGATCCATGTTCAGCAGTGGACTTTTATAGTTTGGAATGGATGGAACTTCAGATGTAGACGTAACCTTTAAATATATACATATGATAATCAAATCTCGTAGGTATTTTATTCTATACCTCAAGCATGCACTTTCCCACGATTATCCCACAATAAATTCTTTCACCGGCGAGCAAGCGGTAAATATATTAGTGGGGGTAGGCAGTCAAAAGCAGGGTGCTACTATACCACTTTAAGACAATATATGAGGGTATAGAAGAAGTGATGTGGCTAGCCCATCGCCTACACAATCACAAACCATTATCCCATTAGTCGCCTTTTATAAGGGCATTTACTGCTATGCAAGTAACACTGTTGGCACATTCTTTTTTGTTACAGGCCCAACATAAACACGGGTCCCGTCATGGGACCGAGCAGTAAATATATACTCGAAATGAACAATTATTAAGTAGTGCCGCCGTCGTGGACCGAACTTCTAAAATTCAGCTTTCGCAGCTCATAAATATTTTATATCGGCTTATATACATTTTATATATTGTATTAGTGCTATCTTAACAAGTCAAATAAATGTATGTTTTTCGCCAAACTGTAGTAAAGTCAGAGCCTAAAATACGTTCCACTGTTGGTGTAGATTTCTTCTCATTACTTAAGGTTTTATGTTAGCCCGCCACCTTTCTCTGCCCCCTTACGCGTGTGGCTTTCACTTCGAAATATATTGTTTTTATGTCAGACATGCAAGTTTCCTTAAGATATTTTCTGTTATCGTCGAGCGCATGGTGAATTGGTAAATAAAATTGCAGTTAACAATTTCATTGGTGCTAGTGTTACCATCTGATCGGTAAAATCCGACAAGACCGGACTCCACCCAGTTCCAATATTCCATACAATCCGCAATTTTACCACACTATAGAGTGTTAGTAAAGTGAATACGGCTTCATACACATTACATAATGTTACAGTAGAATTTGTGTAGGAACCAACATTTATAAAGCTACTCGCCAAAAATATAATTTGAGATAAATGTACATTTGTTAAGGAAATAAAGCGTAATTTTCTTTTATAGAATAAGGATTGTAAACGAGCACACATTCCACCAGATGGTACGTGGATGCTGTGGCCCATAAACATCTACATTTATCCTAGATTAAAAATCTAAAGGCAGATGCGTTGTCACCCCTGAGAACTAAGATGGAATGCCTCGTATCCAATAAAAGGGGTCTCCAGTTCTCTACACTCACTACACGAAACACAGCAGCCTTAAGCTGCTATATAAGCTAGTATACTGTGAGAGTGTCGTCCTACCCCGGCTGAGCTACAACCAATATAGCTACAACGTCGCTCTACCACGTATAAAACAATCTATTGAGTTTTTTTTTGCCGATATACCGCCTTACTACAGTTTTTTTTCCCAAATGTCATCATCAATTCCAGGTTCTAGTAAACCTATGCCTGCGGGAATCGTAGTCGGATTGCTCGCATGATATGAAATTTTAAGACAAGCGAATCCATGGCACCATTTCTTTTCAACCATAAATCATATAATCAAAGGAATTTACGAAGTTCTAAAACCTGTTAAAAGGTCATAAAGGTTTATATCATGGAAAATTGACAATTAATCCGGTATAAGCAAATTTTCCTTGATCCATCAACGCCGTCAGTTTGCATAAAATGTTTTGTTTGATTTTCCTGTGGACGTGGGGGCTATTTCCGCTCAAATCCAGCATATCGCCCGGGCTATCACTCTGTATCTCTGTACACAATAAAATTCGCAGTCTGTGAAATCTATTTGTATAGACTGTCTCAAGGTCAAGAAATGCGTCAGCCAATGTTAGCGCATCGATTTTCTTAATAGTACCTACAACGAAACTCTTTTGTTTTTATAGTCGTGCCGTGCGATCGCGGCATATCATCACGTGGGTGTTCGTAAGAGTCTAAAGGGAAATTTAAACAGAAGATGTGCAGAAGCATCTTTTACCAACTCAATAAAAAACTTTACGTTAACGGTTGCCGACCCCGTCTGCCAAAATGGACGCTGAAGCAGGCAAGGAAACGGTGTATGCTGAATAAAGACCTCCCCCATAATTGGCTCATAGAGGGTATATTTGCGTTAGTTGCCACGTTTGGCAGTTTTATTTTTTAGTTTTTATAAGGAAAACGCTGCTGACCACCTTTTGTTTTGTTTCTCCCTCTGTCATCTCTTGCGATACTCCACGATACTCTCTACGATATGGAGTAGTCGAATTTTTTATAGAATAAGGGTGACAAACGAGCACACAGTCCACCTGGTGGTAAGTAGATGCTGTGGCCCATAAACATCTACATGTATCCTCAATTAAGAATCAAAATGCAGATGGGTTGTCACCCCCGAAGAGATTGAATACCTCGTTTCCAGTGAAAAGGGTCTCCGGTCCTCTACGCTCACCATACGAAACACAGCACTATTAAGCTGCTATTTTGACGCTGGTATTCTGTGAGAGCACGGTCCTGCCTCGGTTAAGCAGGCCCATTCGTGCTGCAACCATAATATAGCTGCAACGGGGCTCTACCACTGACCGCTGTAAAACGATGTTCTTACACCTCCACTTCATGGTTGGCAAATTACTGTATATTATTGTTATATTATATACTATGGCTAATTACCATGGTATAATTACATATGAGGCAATCTTTGGGGGAGGCCTATGGGCGCCCCCTAACTAAATGGATCGACGATTTGCTGGCTGGTAGCAACTGGATGCGTGTATCCGAAGACCGGGCTAAGGTTCCGCGCCTTGGGAATGGCGTCTGTCTGGCAGTGAATTGCTGCTGGCCGATGGATAATAATGACATAAGTGTGGCCGTCTAGTTACCCTACCAAAATTGTTACAATTTTTTTAATATTTGCTTCGATGTTCGGTTAAGATGTATTATTGTGTACACGCATGTTCACCTGTTCTTTTGACTGACTGACTTTCTGTAGTTAAGCCTCGACTGGTCCGTAAGTGTGAGGTGTCGTTTGATGTGTTTTTCTCCCCGGAATGTTAAGACTTAAATTTTATGATAGTAACATAGTATACAAAGCACAAACAAATACGATAAAAACAAATGTCATTTTATTGCTAGTTAATTGATTTACTGAGTACAGTACTAGCGAGTACTGGCTAGTGCCAGCTAGTGGCCATGTTGGCTAACAGTAGAAGTTAGTCAAGACCTGGCAAAAAGGCGCACTGAGCAGTAGATACGACAAGTTCCGTTATTTTTTCTTTTCCAATATTGTTAAACGGCAAATAAAGGGCAAAATTCTTACACAATCGTACATAAAGAATATTCAGACCTGAAACAATTATTTGGAGGCCGTTCATTCATGACAGCCGTTCACAAGTCGCCTGTTGGACACAGGCCTACCCCAAGGAATACCACAAAGCACGGTCCTTAGCCACCTGCTTCCATCTACTACCTGCATGTCTTACAAGTCTTTACTCCATCCATTTGAAGGTCATAAAAATACTTATGAGCGGGAATCGAATTCGCGGCTTTCAACACGGCAATTACCTAACCACTGTGCTATCAAGTCTTCATATAAACATTCTCTTTCACCTTCACACAATGGCTAGTTATTTTTAAATAAAGTCGTCTAAATCACTAATAGACGAACGTAATAAACCAACAGGTGTGGTTATCAAAAACACCGCCTGGGGAAACGACAATAAGGCACGAAGCTACATTGTTTTGAATTCTTACGCACACATTTAACTTATAATTTAGAATAAAATAGAATAGTGATTAAGACCAGTAACTACGCATAAGGGAA